CACTGAGTCAGACCTACAGATCTGGTGATTAGACATGTGTATAAATACATAAATTCCATAGAAATCAAATAAATATAAATACATAAAATCCATATACATTAAATATAAATCACTGAAATCCTTATAAATTAAATAAATATAAATACATAAAAATCCATATAAATTAAATAAATATAAATAAATACAATCCATATAAATTAAATAAATATAAATACATACAATACATATAAATTAAATAGTTATCTTGATAAGGAATTCCATGGTTAAGTGGATTAAATGGCTATATATGCCTGCAGGTAACTATAATTATGTGTACAGTACAGCAATCTTAATGTGTTATTATCACTGTGTACAAAATTAATGCATTTTTAGGCTGTTAAAACAGGGAACATGGGAAAAAAATATATGTAAGATCAGAGCGTTGAACTAATAATTATACATGCTGTGAATCAATGCAATTATATCCATAATGGGATATATTGTGGAGTGAATGAGATGTACCTACAGGTCATTATAGTTATCTATGGTGATGTAGGCATGTGAACTCCGTTATACAGAAAGTTACAATAAATGTAAAAATCATTATAATAAGTAAATAGGAGAGAAAATGTTTATAGTCGGTTTGGATGTTCAGTGGCGATTGAAATATGTGAAATCCGTGTTGAGCTAATGAAAGTATACAATGTGAACCAATTTAATTGTATTTATAGTTACATAGTTAGGCCCCGTTCACACTGATCGGTTTATGGCGCGATTTCCGCCGCATAATCGCGCATATTTCTGTGCGATATCGCTCTATGTAGCTCGTCCAATGCATTTCAATGGAGCTGTTTACATCTCACAGCTCAATGTCGCCTGTAGCTCGTAACTCAAGCTTCTTGCTTGTACAGGGCCCTTTTTTCGCGGATGTCGCGCGACTCGGCCTCAGTAGACTCAATGGTCTTGCGCGATATCGCACTACAGAAGGGTCACTTTTGCACTGCAAAATGGAAGGCAAGAATGATGTCACATCAAGATCGCTGTTGATTGGTTACAGCCCAATGTAGCAGCAACTAAGTCCCGCCCAAAAAACAGGCTACGTAGCGCGATAATATGTGCACTGTCGCTCAATATCACGCAATGTAGCTCAAAGCCGCTCAGCACTAAATTACGCGGAAAAACGCACGATATCCATGTCGCTTAGTGTGAATTGGGTCTTAGTGAGGTTGAAAAAAGACACAAGTCCATGAAGTTCAACCTGTGGAGATGATTAAAGGAGAACTATGGGGTCAGGGCTTTTCCCCATAGTTCTCCTATGGGTAACGGGAGGACACAAACTAGCGTCCTCCCGTCACCCAAAGCTCAGTATACCGCGAGCTACAGCTCGCGGTATACTGAGACGCCGCAGCTGAAACTGATCCCGACAATTATGTCTGGACCCGCCCAGCTGCGTGAGTGACAGCTGGCTCTGCCTACCTAGAGGCAGAGCCAGCTGTACCCGCCCCCTCCCCCGTCCGTTCCGCCAATCAGCGCTGGAGGATCGGACCGGGGAGAGGGAGAATCCAGTCCCTCCCCTGTCACGGCTCTCTGCCGACACAGGATCGAGAAGTGAGCGAGCACCGGGATGTGTTCCCTCACTTCCCGATCTACTGAGCCGACCTCTGACAGTTTCTTTGTCAGAAGTCGGCTAGAACTATGAGGATGATTGAAAATCACTCACCTCATAGTTCTCCTGTAAATATAGTGTAGTGCAAATGAAAAGAAGTCATTGTGGTTATGTGTGGTGATATAATTGTCTGGATTGTGGTTATACATAAAGTTACATTTAGGGTCAATTCACAAAGGTAGCACACTAGGACAAGGAGACTTATTTTCCGCTGACACCAATAAGATTTGAAAATTATAGTCACATGACTAAAATAAAGAAACTGACCCTTGTGTTAAAGCTTTGTGAATTTGTGAATTGAGCCCAGTGGGTGTAGAAACCATTTACACCAGAAAATAAGAGAATAAATAGCCTGTGGGAGCGCCGATCAATGGGGGAGGGGGGGTCACTGCAATTACCAATGTGAAACGAATACCCGGCCGCACGTATGTGCGGCCACAGATTTGTGTACATGTCAGAAATGTGTACATGAATATGTTGCAAAGGTGCGTCAGAATCTGTACAAATTACTGCTGGAGTAAAGATAGGACAGGATACTCATAGATATTACTCCTTGAGTGCAGTGAGACTCATGGAGGCATGGCAGGGGGCACCAGTGAGGCCGGACTCTATCCTCGGTGGATGTTCAGCACTGTGTATGTTCAGTCCCAGTATCCTTGGTTGCCAATGATACTGTGCAGCCAACAGCATCCTAGCAACTAATGGTGATGTGTGGCTGAGAGCATCCTTGCAACCAATGACACTGTATGACCAGCCAACAGCATCCTAGCAACCAATGACACTGTGCGGCTGACAGCTTCCTAGCAACCAATAACACTGTACAGCCGACAGCATCCTAGCTACCAATGACACTATGGCTGACAACATCCTAGCAACCAATTACACTGTGCGGCCGACAGCATCCTAGCAACCAATGACACTGTGCGGCCAACAGCATCCTAGCAACCACACAAAATACTCCTTCATTATGTCTACACAGTTCTCCACTCTTGCAATCCCCGGGCACATTTCCTGCTAGACTAGCCACCAGTGATGATATAATATTATACAATCACATGGAAGGTAGAAAACTGGAAACATACACTGCAGCAGTGAGTTACAATAAGATCAAATTACATGCAGCCTGTTTGTTCTGAGTTTATCTCTCATTTAGAACCCTAATAGCAGCTTTTCCTCTTTAACATTTGTGAGGGACTTGCTTTAGTAATGCAGCCTTTCTCTTATCAAAGAGGAACTTTACCACCAACCCCCACATCCTGCTTTTAAATGGTTTGGAGGTTTTTCTTCAAAAAAAAAAAAACATACCTGCCGTGCGAATCCAACGCTGTCCTGCTGTGATCCAGTGCTCTGCTACCCCAGGCCAAGAACCATGCTGGTTGATGAGGCACGTGGAAATGTTACACCATTTAATAAATAGATTGACTGGAAGCTATATTGGAGTGCGAGTGACTTACCATCTGTTCATTGTTACCCGTGGAGGCGTCTGCGGTCACTGCCGCACCCGCCCTGTGTGTGGGGAATTTCTTTCTGGTCTGGAGTGCGATGGGAAGTTTTGGATTTTGAATGACTCTTCCATGTTCTCTGATCTAGCAGTCCATTTTTCATTCCGCTAAGTTGGATTTGACTATTTCTACATTAATCCCTATTTTTTATTCTGATTGCAGAGTGGGTTTTCGTCTGTTTGGTCATACTCGGTATTTTTCTCTTCTTTGCCATGGTGGGATTATGCTGGTGCCAATGCTGTCCGCACAGCTGCTGCTGTTATGTGAGGTGCCCTTGCTGCCCAGAGACCTGCTGTTGCCCCCGAGCCTGTAAGTATCATTATATATTCTTTATACGAGTATCATGGAATGCCGGGCTGCTCATAGGGGGGATACAGATGGTTCTCCCGTACCAGGCCCCATAGTACCAGCAGGGGGGGGATTGGAGTCGGTCAGGGCTACCCTTGAGTCTATACCCAGTGTGCAGTGTCTCCTGTATATCTACCCCCAGTATATTAAAGGAGTACTATGGGGTTAAGGCTTTTCCCCATAGTTCTCCTTAGGGTAACGGGAGGACACAAACTAGCGCCCTCCCGTCACCCTAGGCTCAGTATATAGGGAGCTACAGCTCGCGGTATACTGAGACGCCGCAGCCGGAACGGATCCCGACAATTCTATCTGGATCCACCCAGCTGCGTGAGTGACAGCTGGCTCTGCCTATCTAGAGGCAGAGCCAGCTGTACCCGCCCCCTCCCCTGTCCGTTCCGCCAGTCAGCGCTGGTGGATCGGAGCGTTGAGGGGGGAATCCAGCCCCTCCCCTGTCACGGCTCTCTGACGTGACAAGATCAAGAAGTGAGCAAACGCCGGTATGTGTTCGCTGACTTCCCGATCTACTGAGCCGATCTGTGACAGTCTCATTGTCACAGGTCGTCTAGAACTATGAGGTGAGTGAAAAGCACCCCCCCCCTCATAGTTCTCCTTTAATCCGAGAATGCCCGTAGTTTTTAAACAGAGTAACTATGATTAGCATATAAGGCTGCGTTCCTCACACATCACCATGTACAGCAACAGAATCATTTTACAAAAAAGCTCCACCTTTTATCATTGAGCAGCCATTCTTAAGCTTCAGTCCAGTCATTTTGTCAGGGCTGAGATGATGTCATCACTCATCAGTCTGCTGCAGGTAGATGGAAGCATTCCCTCAGGCTGCAGCAGGGGCTGATCTGCATCAGACGAAGTCAGCAAACACAGCCAAGAACTGTACAGGCACTGAAATTTATGTGATTGTGTCATCTCTGACCCCGTATCTGGGTCCATGAAGTAATGATGATCCCTTAATGATGTCTTTTTTGTTGCCTTATGGCATCTATCGTCGATTTTAATCGACTTAATCGATTAACTGTTGCAGCTCTACTGGAATGATCATTTACGTCCCAAAAACCTGCATGGGCAAAGTACAGGTATGCAAGGAAGTCTGCAGTCTGATCTTATGTGTATATATATAACGAAAAGGAAGTCCAGTAAATTTGTCAGGGCTGAATGATGATGTCATCACTCTGTTGCAGGTAAATAGAACCATTTACTCAGTCTCCTCTCCCCCAGTGATCAGACTACAACATTTTTTTTTAGCAAGTCACAAGATGAAATGCATTTTGCTTTGTGTTACAACCGCATGTGCATTTTCTAACCCAGTTGTGTGAACAGTCCCTGACCCATAAATCATAAATTGTTTCCAGTGAAAACTCCATATTAAAGTGACTCATAGATCCAGAGATGCTGAAGCTATATGCAAATCTCAACTTCCTCTCCCTTACCTCACAAGCTTTCCTATTGGTTCGGTAACATGATTGGCAGACTCACTACCCATAAGGATGCTTGGAAGAAGAAGAGGTGAAGGCCAGCTTGCCTTTCACAGATAAAGTGAAGATTTGCATGTAACTTCAGCTCGATCAACATATGGATTTTACTTAGGGTAACCTCTACTTATGCATGTTGGTTATGTGTTTAGATGAAGTACTGAGATCTTTTAGGAATGCTGAATTACGTTGTACTTGCTTAGAAAGACGTTACATGTATGTATACAGGAATACAGCATCAACAGGAAAACATATAGACAGATAGAACTTCCTGTAAGATCATAGACAAGTATACGTAAGCATTGAGACCCAGATTGCACTACAGCGCCATCTAGTGCTCAAAAAAGTTACAGTCAGCAACACAATCAGTATGCTGTCGCTTCTCCAACAATGCATTTTATAATCACGTGCTTAGCTTGCATGAAATGATAGGTATACCAATTCCGTAATAATTATGAATTGTTCTATTCTTTTTATTTTCCTTTAGTATATGAAGCAGGAAAAGCTGCAAAAGTCGGCTACCCACCCACCGCTCCCACCGCCTGCCCTCCGTACTACATCTCCACCGTTCCGGTAGCTCCTGTACCAGCGCCAATGATAATGGAAAAGCAGCACGTGCCCCCACTGGTGCAGAGTGACTCTCTAGGAGGGCAAAATGGTAATTTGAGATTGTGATACTGCACAGGCAGGACATGTACAGTGTAATATAATAAATATATTTCTGTAGTTTCTTCTACAATGTACAGTATAGAGAGCAACATGAAGAACCAGACCGAGAATAAAAAAGGCATCAAGGGGTCCCCCAAGATATGCATTCAGCTTTCCACATTTGGTTCTCTGCAATCACATGGGATAGGGCTATGGACAGGGCTTAGGTAAATGTATGGAGCAGCGTCTGCTTCCAGCAGCCTGTGATCTGTGTCTCTAGTAATTACACCATATTAACCAGTTGTGGGCATACTGGGCTTACTAGACACAAACGTGAAAGAAAAACGTAATAGAAGTACACAGGGAAGGGAATTTATCAAAACTGGAGCAGACAAAATCTGGAGCAGCTGCGCATGGCAACCAATCAGCATCTCTTTCATTTTCAAATCTTAACTGAACAAACTGAAGAGAGAAGCTAATTGGTTGTCATGCACAGCTGCTCCACATACTGTCTGCTCCAGTTCTGCTAAATTTTGTATGTCCTTCTGCTCCGCTGCCACTTCCTCCCACATGCTTGCTGGTGATTCCCAGCTGTCAAAATGGCAGCCGGAAGTTGCTGTGTAAACACATCAGTTTTGGCTGCTGGCACAAATGAGTTTGAAACACATATGCATGTGAAGCAGATGCCTTCATTCTTGTTCTCATTCCTGGTCTGCAGAAATATATGTGTCTATGTGATACAGTGCAGACTCCAGACAGTCTAAAAATGAATCACATCGATGTTATACTGACCTGGGATAACAGCTGCTAGCACAGGGAAAAAAAAGGCAGAGGAAAGAAGTTATATTTCCACAAATGCAACTCCAGGCAAACCGTTAAATATACTCTTGAATGGGGATGCACTGATATTAATACTTGTATCGGTATCGGTGCCGATACCGAGTATTTGGCAACTTCCATTATCAGGAAGCTGGTCAGCGAGTCATTACATGCCGTCCGGCTTACTGATTGGCCGGGAAGCCAGATCCATGCTCCCTCGTCACCATGGAGCATTAGTCTGGCTTTCCGGCCGATCAGGAAGCCAGGGGGCAGGTAATGATTCTTCCCCCTCACAAGGGAGCATGGAGCTGGCTTCCCGGCCAATCAGGAAACCAGGGGGCAAGTAATGACTCGCCTCCTGGCTTCCTGATTGGTCGGGAAGGTGACCAAACGGGAAGCGGTCAGAAAGCCGGTTCCATGCTTTCTCGACACCTGGTGACAAGGGAGCATGGAGCCGGCTTCCTGGCCAATCAGGAAGCCAGACGGAGTGTAATGTTTCGCCACCCGGCTTCCTGGTTAGCCAGGAAGCCGCCACCATGCTTCCTTGTCACCTCGTGATAAGCATGGAGCCGGCAAATCAGGAAGCCAGACGGCCTGTAATGACTCACTGCACGGTTGGTCAGGAAGCCAGGTGGAGAGTCATTACCTGCCTCCTGGCTTCCTGATTGGCTAGAAAGCCGGCCCCATGCTCCCTCATCACCCGGTGATATATGCCAGGCTTTGTGATATATGTGACGATGTGTTTGAATAAATGGACACCATATTTTGAACATCATCTTCTGAGTGCTGGTGATCCTCGTTCCCTACAGCCTAAAATCTCAGTCTGGGCTGGAGATGGCCTTTAAAATTACTACCCATGTCTTTGTTTCCGCAGTACGAAAAGGTTACCGCATTCAGGCGGACAAGGAGCGAGATTCAATGAAGGTCCTTTATTATGTGGAGAAAGAACTGGCCCAATTCGACCCGGCCCGCCGGATGCGAGAGAGATGTAAGTGTTTTTTTTTTCTGTACATCATCAGTGAGAGAATAATTTCAGCACACGAGAGTCGGTGTTTAATCTGAGATTTCTGAACGTCTGTGGGATTGCGTCACTTTATTAATAGTTGATGACTACCCACACAATGAGTCACCTATTCTTGGTGCTGTCATTTCTCTGCCTGTTCATGGATGTTCATTCTATTATCTGCATCAGAAAAATGTTTTATTGTACAGAATATAAACACAGATTCACACTGGTAATGGGCTCGCAAACTCAGAAGACGCAAAATATTCTGCTTTTTATTTCACAGTAGCTGACATTGTCATAACATATCCTGGTATGTATATTGTCTGGGTAGAGTGAACCTGAGCCTACTCCCTGCAGTGAAAACTTCCTCCAGCAGCACATTCTACCTTTCCTTTGGCTTCCCTGCTGCTCTATTTGGCTGCCACTGGTGAGTAATGTGTCACATGCGGGCCTAAAAAAGAGTCCTCCAGCTTCTGTAGACCCCAGGTCACAACTCGGAGCTCACAAAGGTCTTCCTCTCTATGCTCACGTTGGCCGAGCAGAGCGTCAGGGAAGCTAAGGAAGGTGAGAATGTGCTGTGGAGGGAGGAATGGTCAAGCACAGGTCTATTATAAATATGCAACGAGGACCATATCTTGCATTGAAGAGGGTTAAAAAGCCTAAAACAGCTGTATGCAAGAACTTAAACTGTATGTTTAGGTTGTATCTGTGCTACAAAACAATCATTCCTGAATCACAGTTGGTAATTATTATTTGCATGACGTTGCCCCCAATCCTTAAATGTGCCCTCTAGCAACTTCAGCGCAAAATTATAGCTAATTTGCCTACAAACGTCAGGTGGTCATAATAAACTGACCACTCAGTGTATATATATATATAATGGTTTTGTATACAATGTATTTATTATTTTATTTAATGTGGTCAACACTATAAAAATAAAGCTTAAAAAATGACTTTCTTTTTTTTTAGTCAGATGAATATGAAATATTGTATATTTCATGCTTCATTCATTATAAGGGGTTCTTAACATCCCTGACGGAGTTTTTATTTACTTTATATTATAGAGAATGTAACAGGAGTAGTTGGGACACACAAAGGTGGAGGGGGGCACCCAATACACCCAGTGGACAGGAACAAAGTCAGGCATTATAGCCGGGAGATCTCACTGTTGAAGTATCCAAGACATAAGAAGTCTTTTAAGAGTCTTTATGAGATGAGTCTTTATAAGTCTTTATGAAATCCTTCTCATAAGAAGGATCTATCTATGACTAAAATTACATTTTGGAGGACTGATGATTTAATTTAAAGGGTTATTAAACCCTCAGCGGTTTTTGCATATATATATGTGGCTAGCAAGCAGTAGATATATGCAAAACGATTTTAAAAAGAAAAACATTTTCAAAGGGTTAAAACTTACCTGTGTCTTTGCCGCGCGCTCCCGTCCGAACATCTGAAAATTTTAGGGCGACGCACAGGATCTTGAGGCGGGCCCATGCGCAGTTCAGCTCTTTGGCCGGGAGACGAGGAGAAGCACAAGGTAAGTATATGCAGCAGCGTGCACATGCACAGACTCCGAGGGACAGGAAGTGCCAGTTAAGACAGAGGAGTCAGCGCTGGATCAGGGACCGGCACCAGCGCTGGAGGGACAGCTGAAAACTACAGGAAAGAAGATGATCGGATTAGGAGGCATAATTTAAAGGAGAACTATGGGGTTAGGGCTTTTCCCCATAGTTCTCCCCAGGGTCACGGGAGGACACAAACTAGCGTCAGCGCTGGATGATCGGACAGGGGAGGGGGGAATCCCTGCAGGGAGCCGTGAGTGAGAGTCACGGCTCTCTGCAGGGACAGGATCGAGAGGTGAGCGAGCGCCGGTATGTGTTCGCTCACTTTCCGATCTATTGAGCCGACCTGTGACAGTTTCATTGTCACACGTCGGCTCAAACTATGAGGATGCGTGATTTTCACTCACCTCATAGTTCTCCTTTAAGGTAAGTCCTTACATTAGCATTGGGGGGGAGGAACATTTTAGCCTTTAATGTCACTTTAAGGATACAAATGGGTGTAAAGTAGGTTCTCATGAAAAGACCTTCATCAATTTGGACAGGTCAGTGAATCAGAACATCTTTTACCTAAGATTCACACATCTTTCTAATTTAATCTTATGTAAAAATGGGTGAATCCTGAGTAGACGTTGTGTGGATCTTGGGTGAAAACATTGATAGACCCCTATGTTTTAGTTCTATGTCTAAGCAGCCAGCTTTGTTTGGGCAGCCTTTTGTGTCCGCGCTTAGGTGGCTGACGTAATTCTAGCTCCTGCTGGCTCAGTCCTGTGACCAGAGGGATAGAGTTTTGTTTAAAATACAGGAAAAGCACGTTTTACTTCTAAGAGACAATTAAATCAATTGATGTGTGTCAATGTATCCCTTGTAAAAGATAAAATAAGCCTTTCAGTGTTTGTGATAAATTGTACAGTAAATGCTTCATCACAACTGTGTAAGACGGATATGAAAATTGTTACAAAGCTATCAATGTTCCTGCGTTTTGAAAGTCTCATTTCCCATCCATAATAATTGTAATTTCGCTTCTTAACAGTTATTTAGATAACATGATTGTAAACCTTGAAGGTATATTTTTCCACATAGCTGCAATTTTCAGTTACCTTCATCTCTCCAAAGGTGGAATTGCTTCATTGATGAGCATCTCCATGGTACAAAATGTTGTATCACATATTTTTTATTTCATTTGTCTTGTGATTGCTCATCCATGTTGACCAGTAGCCAATCACAAAATCAGAAGACAAGAAAATATTACAGCTGAATCATGGATATGTTCATCAAGTTATTAACTATATGGCCAAAGGTTTGAGGAACACATGACCATTATACCTTCTGTTTGGGCAAATGTTTGTGAACGCTCATCCAAATGATTCCATTCAGTTATTCCCAGTAAGGGTTCTGTGAATGCATAGGAAGATATTTTAGATAATTGAGCTCTTCCATGCTTGTGGTAACAGTTTGGTGAAGGCCATTTTCTGTTCCACCATGACTATGCCTCTTTGCACAAAGTCAGCTCCATAAAGACATAGTTTGGTGTAGAGGAGATTGAGTGTCCTGCACAAATCCCTAACCCTCTAGACACACTCCAAAATCTTGCTGAAAGCTTTCATGGAGGAGTGGGGGTTTTTTTCCCATTCAATGCCCTTGGTTTTGGTGTGGGATGGCCATCAACTTCATAGGAGTGGTGGTCAGGTGATGTACACAAGCTTTTGGCTATATAATGTAACTTGCTACATTTTGCTAAGCTACTTACCTGGAAGTGATCATGGAATCATGCAGCATGAGGAAGCAACCCTTTCATCTATTCACAGTTCTACAGCAACTTAAATGAAAAATCCACTGTAGTTTTGGATAGTGTTGGAGGCACATCATTAGTATAGTGGTCCCATACACTTTAAATCAAACCTGGCTTTGCAAAATAAGATCAAAGCAACAGGTTTTCTATAATCAGGAGTGACAACACTGGCCCAATCAGTGCTACCTCATAAGTATTCTGTAGCCCTGAGTAAAGTACGACTCTGGGGACGCATAGCTTATATGAGGCATTCTTATGCTTGCAATGGTTGGTAACTGAAAGGGAGATAATTGCATACTGCTGAGGTAGGGGGTGGGGGGTTAGCTAAGGTACTGGGAAATGTAACATACTCACCCTAAGGCTATATACTTCCCTTCTACTCACCCCCATTCCCACCAACCCACCCAAGAAATACCCAGTGCTTGCCACATACTCCACCTTGGTACCTGGGCACCCAACCACCAGGCCTAAGCACTATTACATGCCAGTGAAGGATGGGGGAGCAAAGTAGCAGGTTCACTTTACTATGTGAAGAACAAAGTACATATACTAACTAACCTTGCTGGTACATCCAGGCATGGAAGATCATATGACATTCTCGTTGCCTTCACACAATGCAGCTCTTGGTGCCAGACATCGGGCCTGAGGACTGTCATGTGGGGGCGGGGGAGAGGAGATATATAGACAAAGTGGCCTGGAGGTGCATCAGAAGGAAGTGTGAAATTACATGCTTTTTATGTTTCATAGGCGATAGTGTAAAGCACAGACTCACTTTAAAGTGTATGGGGCCTCACACAGAATTATAGTTTTCTTCCAGAGTGAAGGGCACTGAGCTTTTTTGTTCCATACTCTTGAAGACTGCCAGGATAGAACGGAAGGAGCCCACACTGGGCCCTGGGGCTGCAGCTGAGCACCAATATAAAATATAATGTAATGCTGCCATATCCATGGTCCCCTCACTATGTACACAGTAATGGCCTCTTGTGTTACGCTGCCTTTCTAGGGACATCACAGCTAAAATGATCTCCTCTTGTTCTAGTATCACTTTCATTCCATCTCCTTTCCTAGACAGCCACACGATCTCGGAGCTAAGTTCCCTACACGATGACAACTCTCACTACAATCGCTCCTATCGCCAAGTCCGCAGGAAGCCTCTTCCCACCAGCTGCAATGTCGATGGGGATGCAGAATACTGGTCCGGCGTTGTCGGGGGAACCGCAAGGTCCTCCAAATTCAGGGATGACAGAGAGAGTTTTAGGAGTAGGTGAGTAAATGTGCCCCAAGGATATTCATACATGCCCCCATATGACAATGAAATACATACCGAGACCCCTGATCTACTAAGAATGGCTAAAGCTGTGCACACATTTACAATCTGCAAAGTTAAAGTTGCAAGGGAGGAAAATGGAAAAAAAATCAACTAGTAAAATACAACCCAAATGTAAAGCTGACCAAACACATTACAGTCCGAATGTACATTTATAAAAAAAAAAATGTAACCATGTGATTGTTAAAGATTTAAACATTTTATGCCGTCCCCATGCCTCCAAATATAAAATACAACTTCTAATATGCAAATTATTAGGGATGCACCGATACCAAGTACCGTACTCAGTACAAGTGCAGGTACAGATACTTTTGCAGCTCCAAGACTAGACTAGAGAAAAATTCAAAAGTTAGGAGGCCGATGTCACTTGTAAGGAGCACACGGAGCTCCCGGGATTTGTACATCTCGGTTTTAATGTATGATTTTGTTTTTATAAATATAAATAAAGGGATGCACCGATACCAGTTTTGTAAGTACAAGTACTGATACTTGCCCAAGTACTCACAGATACAAGTACTGATAGATTTTTGTTTATTGTCATGTGACAGTTTTTCTAAAACAATATCGACTAATGATTTCAGGACAGTGGTGGGGAGCCAGAGCCCGGTCCCAGCTGCAACCGCTGCAACCCTGGTAGTTCTCATGAAAATGCCAAGTATCGGCACTGGTATCTAAAAAGTATCGGTCCATCCCTACAAATGATTATTTTCTGTACCAGGCACATAATTTTTTCTCCTTGTTGGGGGTCAGGGTAGCCATGTTGTTTCCGTTCCTGTCCTCACCCCCACTACTTACAGCTATGATGAGAAAAGACAACCTCTACACCAGGGGTGCCCATTAGATAGATCGTGATCTACCAGTAGCTCTCAAAGCTGATGCTGGTAGATCAGGAAGGGTGTGAATGGCGGCCCCTTTATTCCATTTTGGTATATTTATTTAGCTGTGCACACATGATTACCTATTAGCCTGAGTCTGCTGAGCCAAGCTCCCTGACACCTTTCTGGTGGATACTGGTGGTTGAAGTGCTATGTATTACATCAAAGAAGATTCGTTTACACAGCCTGTTGCAAAATACAGCAAGGTGAGTGGGGAGAGACAGACAGGAGAGAGGAAAGACAGCCAGGCGAGAGAGCCAGGAAAGAGAGAGAGGAGAGACAGCCAGGAGAGACAGCCAAGAAAGAGAGAGAGGCGAGACAGCCAGGAGAGAGCGAGAGGAGAGACAGCCAGGAGAGAGCGAGAGGAAAGACAGCCAGGAGAGAGCAGAGACAGCCAGGGGAGAGAGCAAGGAAAGACAACCAGGAGAGAGAGCAAGGAAAGACAACCAGGAGCGAGAGCAAGGAGAGACAGCCAGGAGAGAGAATGACAGCCAGGAGAGAGAGCAAGGAGAGACAGCCAGGAGAGAGAGAGAGCGAGGGAGGTTTTTTTTTTAGTTGGTGGATCTCATGCAGCTAGTCATTTGAAAAGTAGGTCTTAACACAAAAAATTGTGGGCACCCCTGCTCTACACTTTTTTTTAAAAAATTCGACTTGCAACGGTGACTGGTAAAGTTTTGGGAGCTTTTGTTAGGTTGTGTTTCTGCCAGGTTTTTATTTCCCAGTGTGGGTCCCCATTGGGCAGATTTAACCCTATGGACAGGAAGTGATGGGAAATCTGTGCAATGGAGACGCGAACTGCAACAGATTAAAGTGGATTAAGTTTTAGAACCTCTCCCGAGATATTGTTACATTCCGTCAAGGTGACATTCGTTGCTCTTATTGTTTTTCCTGCTGCCACAGAGACAGAAAATGAGGTGAAATCTCCCTAATGGAGTTCACGGACAGCCATAAAAACTTGACAGCCTAAGTCTATCCAAAACAAATCTAAAAAGTATTGATGGCCATTAGGCTTTAATTGCTAAGGTCAACAGCATTATGTTTTATAAAGCATCATCATGTATACATAAACAAAATGTAGTTCAGATTTGAGCACCTCATATGTACATTTATCTTTCTTTACAGCCTCCAGAGACCAACATCTGAAGTCTTAGAAAGGAAATCCTTTCCCATGGCAGTTCAGGCTGTTTCTACTGACGAGTTAGCAGCATTTGCAGACTCGTACAAACAGAGGCCTCGGAGGGCCGACAGTCGGGGACCTGGCACAGGACCGAGGTTCGAGAGGTCCGAGTCAAGAGGAAGGTCACTCTACCAGGACAGCTCAACCGATGACTACTATGGAAAACGAAACTATAGCAGGGAAATCTTTTCAGACAATGAACGAGGCTGGTCCTTCAGCCCATCTAGGATACGAGCCCCAGAGGACAAGCACCTTCCCAAAAGGATAACTAGAATGGGACAGAGTTACGATGACGCTTACCTTAGCAGTATTCTAGAACGGAAGTCGAGGGGTATCGAGGAAACCATCATCACCCCGTCTAAGCTAAGCCTGCGGCAAAATTCCAGCCGCAGCTACGGTCGGTCTCCAACGTTCAAGACTGGAGAAGGCAAGGACCATCACAAAGTTGAGGAAGAAGACTCACTTCCTCCCTACAGCGAGAGAGAGCTTGCCAGGGCTCTCCCGTTTCGTTCAAGAGAACATTCCTATCTCAGCGCCTCCGACAAGAGGAAGAAAAAGGAGCAGCCCAGTAAAACAGTGAGAAAAGCCTTCTTTTTTTACATGAATGGGTCACAGGCCAAATGGGGTTGGAGGGCGTTGTCAAAGATTTAAAAAAAAGAGTGGGGAAGGATGTGTGTGTGTGGACATTCTTATATGATATATTGTGCCATTTCGGAGATGTTTGTGGACCATAAACATTGAAAATGCATGCTGTATAAAAAGCAGCTCTCCAATATCGCTCTACCACCTTTCGAAAAGGGACGTGTTCTTGTCCACTTTTTCGGGTATGTCAATAACACAACTAAAACGAGAGAAAAAACACATGGGTTGTTCGGACAATTCTCCATGAAATGGACATTGGGTCTTTTAAATAATGTCTCTCTTTTTTTATATTCTGTACATTTGGGCTCCAGATGTAATTGTCTTGTGAAGGCATGGTGAAAATTGGGAAATTTTGTCGAATTTCTTTGTAAAGAAATAAAACGAAATTCAGTCCGGGAGTTTCGGGCAGTTCCACTCTTTTAAGGGTGATTTTGTGGTTATTCTCTTGCTATTATGAAACTTAGATTGAACTGTAGTAGAAACTTATAACCTGCATCGTCTTTCATTAATTTAATAAAAAAAAAAAAAACAAGTAGCTGCAACAGAAGACTTTCAAATTTTCCTGACCAGATATTCTTTTTGGTGCCAATAAAACAAAAAAAACATAATTTATTATACATGACCAAAACATGTTCACAATGAAACTGTTTGTGTTGCTGCTGCATATTATTTTTTTTGTTCCCAAATCACTTTATATGAAACTGTAAGTGTGGCAGCTTTTTACATGTCGAAAATGAAAACTTTTTGAAAAATATTAAATGTATTCACACAAAAAACAAAAAAACAAAAACAGATGGTTGGTTTCCTTTCTTGTTGAATCATTAGTTATTTATCTTCTCTCTTTTTTTTATAGTTGTGTTGTTTTCCACAAAGAATGAGGGAAACAGCCAATGAGGCAAAAGGCAAATCAATATTTCACCGGCACAATTAAAGAGAAATAAAAAGCGTAATCCCAACCATCCAGTAAATTACCCCCCAACCCCAATCCCCCCCCCCCCCCTCCATATTTCATTATGTGTGTCCATTCACCTTCGTCATGACATCACTCACCGTAGCCTAAGAACGGCCCTTATAACAAAGATCTCATTAGTGTTACCTGTCTTGTTTTGGGAAATTCCACTTGGGTTGCGCATTGTGTATTGCCCTGTGTGTCGCTTGAATGCATTGATGACAAAGAAAGAAAAAAAGACGCCATTTTTTTAATATTGTAGTCAGGGAAGTCGTCAGGGATTTTCAGTTCACGTTTCCTCGAGGTCAGGGAGAGTTTTTTTTATCATTTTGTTTTCCTTTTTTTTTTTTTATCATGTTCACATCTTACTGTTTATTATTTTTCGCAGGGTGATTTCCCAAACAGAATGTCCCTCGTTGTCTGACATCGTGAAAGACTTAAGGAAGATTCTCAATTGGAGGAGGCACTGAGGCAGTCCTGGTTTACGAATGACAGAGCCATGAGCCACTGTGCTCCAAGGATTCCCTTCTTGACGTGGAAGACCTTTTAACTAGCCTATTTACCAGTGGACAGGAGACCATGTGTCTTTGGGCCTTAAGTTGGAGCACTGGTCTCCTGCGGGGTGTACAACCCAGAGTCTAATGGACCTCAAAAAAATAAATAAATAATCTGGAGGGATAAGCAGGGCATCATCACAAGTTGCTGTGATTTTAGATTCTGCAAGGACTAGCCTTAGACCAGTTTAATATTTTCTCCTAGATCAATTGATAGGGGTGATCTCTGCCTCCATGCTCCAACATTCCTTATGTCTCACACTCAGTGTTATTTTTGTACCATTAAGACCTCTTTGTGCCTCTCATTCACACAGTCCCAAAGAAGGACGAGTGGTGTCTTTTTGTATGCAGTGGGCAGAATTCATGGACATGGCTTTCGCATTTGAAATAAAAATTCATATCAATACTTGTAATATTAGAAGTGTTTTTTTGCAGATTTGTTTTTTTTTTTATTTGTTCTCCGAAAAAAATTTGATGTAAAAAAAAAAAATGGCACCGGCAGCGAGCAAAAGATTTAGTAAAGTCAAATGTTCCAGTGTACACAAGCTAAATAATACTTTGCAGGAGAATCAAAAAGAAAAGATGTGTAGATGTGTCCATTTTACTTCCTTTGCCTTCATTTAAAGTCCAACTGAACGTTCAGCTTAAATGAGGACTAGGGGGGTAAGTGTTTTTCCCCATAGTTCTCTTTAGGGTCACGGGAGCACATATACTAGTGTCCTCCTGTGACGCAAAGCTCAGTATATAGCGAGCTACAGCTCGCGGTATACTGAGACCGCCGCAGCCAGGGCGGATCCCGACAATTATGTCTGGATCCACTCAGCTTTGTGAGTGACAGCTGGCTCTGCCTATCTAGAGCTGTACCCGCCCCCTCCCCTGTCTGTTCCTCCACTCAGCGCTGGGGGGGGGGGAATCCCTGCAGGGAACCATGACTAACAGTCACTGCTCTCTGCAGGGAGATGATCGAGAAGTGAGCGAGCGATGGTCTGTGTTCGTTCACTTCCTGATCTATTGAGCCGACGTGCGACAGTTTCATTGTCACACGTCGGCTCGAACTATGAGGATGAGTTATTTTACTCACCTCATAGATCTCCTTTAAATAAGCTTAATACATTACGGGGTGCACCAAAACAAAAAGGCGCACAAAGCCTTATAGTACAACGCAGCCAAAGCCTGAGTAGAAAAGCCTGTCCCATGCCAGCATGCTGGAGAGAATGACCTTGGCTCTCTGTGTGGAGGCAACACCCCTGTAGAGTCAGAGCTAGAGCTCTGCAAAGCTCACACTCTCTGCTGATTGGAGAGCTATAGGTCTGGCTGACCATGGGAGTGGTGTCAGACCTCTGCAGAGAGAGAGACCACTGCTTCCACACAGAGAGCAAGGGATGCTGGCAGGGGACAGGCTTTTCTACTCAGGCTGTGGCTGCTTTGTACTATAACGCTTTGTAGGTCTTTTTGTTTTGGTGCACCCCGTAATGTATTAAGCTGACTGAACGTTCAGTTGGGCTTTAAATGAAGGCAATGGAAGGAAAATCAAAATCAAATGAATGTTAAATAAAAAATCATATAATAATATAAAATATTTTTTGTTGACCACTTTTAATCGCATGTCTCAGTTTTTTGTTTTTAAGTTTGTTGCAAATTTTTTGATTTAAGAAAAAACGGTTCCTATTTTTTTTTCTGTCATCTTGTCTGTGAATTTTGCGCATTTCTCTTGTTTACATGGAAACGGTGCTACTCATGTGCCCCCACCTCCCCCTTTGTTTTGTTTTTGCTTTTTATTTTCAAGAAATATTATTACTTTACTCATCATGTGTCAGTCTTTACATCTGAACACTTCTGACACTCTCATGAGAATTTTAATGAAAAAAAAATGATTTATGAATTTAATTTAAAGCTTTTTGTACCTGTTTCTGGAAGGCCTCCGGTTACACTGAATATGTTTTCGTCATTTTGATTGGCTGCTGAAAACTAAAAATGGACAACAAACTGACCAAGTTTTACGCTGACTTTAGTTTGAATGTATTGTGCTAATTCTTTCATTTTTAAATGTTAGATATTTCGTTTGGCAATCTTGATTGTAGTGTTTTTGGGATTATAATGCATATGTTAAAAATTTGCATTTGTGGTATTTTGTTTCTTCTTTTAAATATACAGTTCTGATTTTTTTTTTCCCCATCAGAATAAAAATCTCCACTTTGATTTAAGTTGCATCTCAAAGCTGGAACTTGCATGAATTTCATCGTATTGCATTACACAGTTGAACTTAACATTCTTCAGGCACTCTTTGCCGTCATACACCGATAGATGCTACCAGTGGCGTCACAAGGGGGGGTGCGGCCCGCACAGTCATTTTGCTGTCACCTCCTCTGAAAAGTCAGGCACTCGATCATGGACCCAGAGCCCGACAGCTGCACGAGAGAGGAGGGGACCCGGCGGCATACCTCATCCCACCGGATTAACGTCCCCTCCTGTAGTAGATCCCATCGCACTCCTGACCGGATAAAGCCCAAACAAAAACTGGGGGGTGCCAAAAGTGACCGCGGATGCCTCCGCACATCAAATGCAAAATACCATAAAGTCACTCGCACTCCGTTTGTAGATAGCAGTCAATCTCCTTTATTGACTGAACAATAGGGATATACCGATACTGGTATCGATATCGGTGCCGTTTCCGAGTATTTGGGCAAGTAGTCGTAATGCTCCGATGCCTAGCACGAGTACTTCCGGTATCAGGAAGCCGGGCACGCTGCCCGGTTTCGCGATTGACCGGAAGCTGGCCTCGTGAGGTAAAGTTACCTTACCTTAGTATGTGCAGCCTGTCACCCCCGGGGCCTCTCCAGCGAGAATGCGGCCTTCGTCCGGTACCCAGCAGGAGCCGTCCAATCAGGAAGCCGGGCGCCGTCTAATGACGCGACGCCCTACTATCAGATTTGCCGGGAAGCTGGCTTCATGCTCCCTCGTCATCTCATGACAAGAGAGCATGGAGCCGGCCTCCCGGCCAATCAGAAAGCAGGGCGTCGCGTCATTACACGGTGCCCGGCTTCCTGATTGGCCGGCTAGACGGCTCCGGCTGGGTACCGGACGAAGGCCGCGTTCTCGCTGGAGAGGCCCCGGGGGTGACAGGCTGCACATACTAAGGTAAGAGGGAACTTTCTTGTTAATCGGGAAGCTGGGTGGCGAGTCTTTACACGCTGCCCGGCTAATCAGGAAGCCAGGTGGCGAGTCATTGCACGCCACCTGGCTTCCTGAATGGGACTTCCGTTACTCGGTAATTGGTATTGGCGAGTACCGGAAAAAAATTATCGGTACTCGTACTCGGTACCAAAATACCGGTATCGGTGCATCCCTACTGAACACAATGTCACCCTTTGATGAACATGCATTGTTGTGTGACATTCAGATCAGTCAATAAAGGAGATTGACTGCACTCTACAAACGGAGTGCGAGTGACTTTATGGTATTTCACTTCTCTTTGACGGCACCCATCACCAAGATGGCCGCCAGCAGTGATGTGCACGTGATGTCATTAAGCGCGTGCATAATGACGTGACACCCAGGCAGCCACACTGGGTGACACCGGGCCTGGTGACGCCTCTGGATGTGACAGTAAAAGACAACCTTGTCAAACCTGGCCATGTTTTAAAGTGGAATATGAGCAAAATCAAAAATGACTTATATGGTGTGGTGTTTTCATAGAAGTTTCTGTTTTTCTGTCTCCTCCAGTAACATAGTTTTATTACCTGCTGATCCGGCCAGAAAGTCGGTTATTTTCCTGTAACAGGCCAAGCTGTCCAGCAACAGGGGCAGTAGCGGGGTTGGAACAAACCATATTAAGCTGCTCATACACTTCTTGAGCCCCTCCGGCTGCTGAATATCATAGCCAGCAGTGGGGATTCCTTCATCCGTGCTGGTTAGTGTGGACGGGGGAATTGGTTAATTTCTCTCGTTCAGTCTGTGGGGCTGAGCAAGGGAAATCTAAAGGTGCCCATACACTGCACGATTATTGTACGATAATCGCCGAAAATCCCGCGATCGTACGATAATCGTGCAGTGTATGGAAGGCGTGCTAACGTTTCTACTGTACGGTCGCACGACTTTTGTATTTCGAGCATGTTCGAAAACCAGCCGAGAATAGTACGATTTTCGGCTGGTTTGAATCATGATAGTGAGATGACTGCCGCACGGGCCGGTGTGCGCACACTGCCCGTTCAGCATTGCGGCCATCGGAAGCCCACCCCTCAGGGGGACGGGCTTGCGATGATCTCAAGTACGATCTGCCTGTCCAAGATGGGCAGATCGTACGTTTTTTAAATTACTTTACAACCCTCGCAAGACACAAGTCTTGCGAGGGTTGTAAAGTGTATGGCCACCTTTAGGCTTCATTCACACTATGCGATTTGGGATTCCCGGGGCAGGAATCCTAAATGTCCCGTTTAGCTGCGGCCGATGCACCTGTTCAGTTTTATCGCAGGGTGACCACGGCTGCATCTGTAAGTGGCAGTCCGCATGTAATTGTATCACATATATGCAGACTGCTGCATACCGAGGCGGCCGCTGTCACCCAGTCATTAACTTGCATGAGTACAGCGGCCACATCTAAATGGAACATGTGGGATTCCTACTGCTATGGCTAGCTGTACACTTGGGAAGGGGTAAGTAAAAAACAGGCAAACTGTAAGAGACTGTATGTGTTTCCTGTCCACCCACATTGTTTTTTCTGAATGTGCACCAAGCGTGGTGGTGACGGCATCCCTGACCGGTCAATCAAGATCGACGAAAACTCCAAACGCAGAAGAAAAAACAAAACGGGTCAGGATGGAAGCAACGGTAAGGGAAAGCACATCACTGGAGGGGTGGTAAGTATAGCAGAGTTTAGCTTTGCTTTAGGGCCGGTTCACAACATCACATTTCACAGCGAACTAAGATCGCACAAAATCTAATTACCATTATAATCTATGACGCTCTTCACATCAGAGCGTTGCCTTAGAGGGCAGTGCGTTGTGTTTTGTAAAACTTTCCCGCTTGCTGCATCTTATGTGCAATTTGATAAAAATGTTTGTTACATTATACTGTAGTCAATGCATGGGAAACACACTAAAAGGCCATCGGAATTTCATTGAATGCACTGGTATATGTCCATATTTCCCAACACATTCCTGAAAAGAAAACGCGTAAAACACGCCTTACGCTGCAACACATTAAAGCGGACCTTTACCTCCTTTCACTACAAATCACATCAGCTTGCGGCTCTTTATGCTGATATGAACTCATCTTTCATTCATAAGTTACACAAACATTTTTTTTTATTTTACTTACAATTTCTTTTTTTGTTTTCTACTTCCTGGTTCTCTTTACATTAGTGATCTAATCTGTGC